CCCAGACTTGTAAAATGGTTTCCTAGGAATAGAATGGCATGACATAGTGACAGCATATAGATACATTCTTGACAGTTACTAAAATGGCCATAAAAAATTGCTACTATTCGCTACTAACAGTGATAGGTCGGTAGGGCAACGACATAGTGAAGTAGAAGTTTTCAAGAATGCGATCATTTTTTTATTTACCTGTTTCAATGTCTGCAAATGTCCCGTACCCACGAATGATACAGTTCCACCATAACACTTGTTAACTGTACGGAGAAAACCTGCTACCTGCTGTCTTTGCGGAACATGAACACTCAATACTCAGAGCAATACACACACATACAGAATGATTTTGGAGGGGCCGTCCCAGCGATCAGATTGACCCTTACACAAAAATATTTTTTCTCAAAAAAAACAATCACTATCAAGACAGCAGATTGGCGTACTGGGCATTTTTCTACAAAAACCAAGCCCGTGTAACTCAAAGGAACGAAAAATAAAATGACAGATGTCCAATTTTTACTACGACGAGATTAAAAGGAAAATAACGAATAATCAAAAGGCGAACTTTGTTGGGCACTGCTGTTTATCAAATCATGACAAAAATTTCAGAATGATTTCATTTCCATTTTGCAAACAGTTCAAAGAAACAAATCAGCTGTTTAAAACAAGTGTAAAGCGCAAACATTTGCATAGCGTAACAGTAAAGCAAGATAACCAACAATCATAAAAACAAAGAACCTTTTCTTCTCACTACATCTGCACTGCACAATTCATGATGAGCATAAGCCAATATATCTATACCTCTTCAAAAATTTCCGTACGCCGGGGAACGAAATGCAACGAAAAAACTAGTACGTAGAAAGCGGGGCGCTTCCGCAGTGTCGCCCATATGAGACTTCCGAAGTCAGGAAGAAGTCAAATACACAACTACCCAATTATTTTCGTAACCATCATCTTGGTTCAAGTCTAGCATATGATAAGGCATGTTCGGAAGATCTTAGCATCAGAAAATCTATCAACGAGCCTTTAATGATAGGTCTGAAAAGCTGTTCACCTCTGAATAACAGCAGCAATCCAAATGAAAAAAACCGCCAAGAGCCAAAGAATAAACTCCGAAGACGGGTGAGCTCGGATACAATTATGCACTTGGTGCCAAACTACGTGGTTCGTTCCTGAAATGATTATCGGTTTGTGGCTGGTGCTCTGAGACGAACTTAACGGCGTCATGGTAACAATTAATGGTTGCGAACCAAATGGGATGGTATCGGAATGTTAATGGAGGTGAAACCAGGCGCCGTGAATGACAGATATAAGAAGACTGGACGGCGAAACTCGACCAGAAGCACCAGATGACTAAATAGTACCGCAAACAAGTATCTAGCAACCTATTTATGAGGCACCCGGTGAGAAGAGAAGGCGGCAAACTACTATCGACTTATCGATTAGATCAGCGCAACGACACAAGCGCCGCCTTTAGGAAAAGGCGGCAAACAAAGCGCGAGACGCCATCTTGAATTTTTAGCGCTTACCATTTCCTCTTCTTTTTCCATGCCGGATGGCATCGCTGGAACTGAGCGATTGATGCTGGCATAGTCGCACAAGTCCGGCAATTCTTCATCGAGAAATATCGGCATGAGCTTGTTTGCGTCGAGCGCCCGAGCACGAAACGACAACTTGCTCATTTTCTAGGCCTCCAACCTCGTAACTGAGTGACGATGGCGAGAAACACAACGACCCAGCGAGGGGGAGACCACTGCAAAGCGAGAATTTCTTAAGCATAAATGAGAACTGTTTCGACACCACCGCATTTCGTTAACGGGACCCATCTCCTTCTAGCGTTCATCACGATTCACGTCAGCAACAATATGGCCGAAATCTTTATATCAATAGCGAACACTCAGCGACGTCGGCGCAATCGTGTGCCGAATAGTGGCGGCGGTGCTGATGCGACGAAAGCGCCCCCTAGCGGCACGGAAAACTCGTCTCCAGTACTGCTCACGTCGGCGGTAGTAACGACGACCACTTCAACCTCACTTCTTGCGCTGTATGTTAGAGTTGTTTTACGGCTTGCGAGGATCTTGCGTTTCGCTCTTTCTTCCCCGCACGAATCACAATGAATTTCCACGGTTTTTCTGTCTTCCTTCCAAAATGGCGGCCACAATCATGCAAACCATACTGTATTGTTTATGCGCCGTGCGCCGGATAAACTTTCCATCGCTTCAGCGCTACAATTTACATCATTGGGGTACGGTAGTATAATATGATGTGCGTAGATTACTTTAAATTACACTGATTGTTTTATCACTTTATGTATCATGCTTTAGTTTTGCAGGATTCTAAATTTGCATACATCTAAAGGTTAGAATATAAATATCCTTTCAATACGAAACAGTTTCTGAAGGCAAAAAAATTTATAAATGGAAAGATTTTCAAGTCCTGGAAAAATTCATTACTTTCCATGAAATTTTGAAACCGAATACAATATTTCCTTACGGCATGCAAGAGTAACAATCTTTTTGTCTACATTAGACAAAAGGAAATTTAACTACTTGTCGAAAACATGTCATTCTATCATATTCGGAAATCACAGCAGCTCTGCGTTATATCTAGACTTTCTCTTGTTTTGAGTTACGTCCGTTGTTCAATCACACTGGATAGTCAGCCATGAAGTGAATTCACTTGAAGTGAAGCCACAAATGGCTCCCGCATCAGAAGATGTCGTAAAACATTGCGTCCATTCTGGTATGACCACACCAGAATCCAATGCTGCTGTATTGTTAGCAAGTCAACAACTTGCTACTTGTTTATAAGGTGGTGGTATTCAATAACATGGTGCAAATGTATTGCTCAATAAAATTCGCGGGTAAGTAGTGTCTTTGCCAATGATTTGGATGACAGTGCCATCCCGCCGCAATTTATGAGAGATCCAACGATAGGAACTGCTAATCTTAAGGATATTATTCAATCGTCATATAATTCATCAACTGTATTTTTACTGTCTATGCCATCAAAGTCAGGTTCATAAATTGAAAAATGCCGCTTTTTCGAGGTAACTGACCACCAGTAGAATATCTCTGACCACGTCCAGGATCTATTTTAGGATTCATTCAGGCTCATTTTGCAACAGTGTTTAATTCTTATATTTAAAATATACTGATAATAGTGCTTTTGCCTGATTTCCAAGTGCATACTAACCTGGATGAATATCAGAATTGTCGAAAATTCGCGATACATGATCTTCCAAGATAGGGCTGTTTCTGCATACCTTTAAGTCTAATATATCATCATGATTCGATCAGTGTCCAAAGTTCATCTCCTTAAAAGCATGGAAAAGCCAGAATCATTTGATACAGAGATCTTCATCTTCTATCGCCGCTTCTCCTTTCGAGTCGCGAAGGCAGACACGTCAGACAGAGCTGCCAGCGTTCCCGATCCTGTGCCAGAGTCTGAGCTTCGGCAAAAGATAAATGGAGTCTGGAACAGGCTCCTTCCATATGTTTGCACCAGGTTAATCTTGGCCGTCCCCTGGGCCTTTTGCCGGTC